AACAAAAGGAGCGGAAGTTCAGGGGTAGAGAAGAGCAGACAAATAGCAGGGCAAGAGGGAAGTAAGGGAGAAAAAAACGATGAGAAAGGAATGGAGAGGTAGATTTGGTGGAAACATGAGCAAAGGGTGGTGGCAAGCGTCACCTCTCCTGAGCCGAGAGGCAGGAGAAACCGTGTGGGAACAGAGCTCTGCCTGATCTCTGTGGCTGCATCTCTGGTATCCTAAATAGAACTCTTTGTTTCTGTTTCTTCCCACCATCCTTTACTTTTTCTGATTTGGAATTTGTGAATGAGGTTTGGAGGCACCACCTCCAGAGTATTCAGAAATAGCTGCTCTCTAAAGTTAAACAATGCGTCAGGACCACGGACAACGCCCGGCGCTCCTGCTTCCCCACCTCTGCGTCCTCTGCAGGATCCTCCATCTGCTGCCATAACTATCCCTCACACATACTATATCTGCCCTGTCCGTGTGAGAGAGAAACTTCCTGCAAGACTGCAGTGGCGGGTGCGTTTGTCCAGCTAGGAGCTACTTCATGGACCTTTCCTGGAGCCTAGAGATTTTAATTCTCCCCTCCAACCATGAATTCTGTTGAAACTCAAAGGGAGAGAGCCCTGCGAAATGCGCAAGACAGTGGATTTCCTAATCCTGGACTAGATTATGGACTTTGCAAATTGTATTAGCGAATGGTGATTGAGAAACCAGCAAAGATATGTCAGGTTTTGCTGAGCGCAAAGTGAGAGATTTCTGCCCAAAGAGATGGCTGTAGCTATCAAATGGTAGTACGTAAAAAGACTATTTTTCTAACATCCCTTTGGTCATTATTAGAAAGAGATATTTATGTTATTTTTGGCCAATTAGATTATTTCATTAGAATGGCTTTTAAAAAAACAAGTATCTAAGTTTCCCTAAATTAAAAATGCCTACTATATTTGTCTCAATTGTCTTTTTAATGTTTTTTAAACAAGATACTATAGACTCATCTTGAAATTTATAATCTAAAAATAGGATTTCATCAAAATACTCTAACTATTCTACTCTGGGGATTGATATATTATGTATTTACTGCTTATGGCTCTCCAGATATGTTTAACACTATACCAAAAAGTTAACTTTATTGATAAGAACAGTTTCCTGTGAAAAGAACATTATATGAAAAAATATGAACTATGTGTTTACTTGAAAATCAACTCAACTTGACATTTCTGAGAAACAACAAGACATCACAAAATCAGTAGTGGTATGAGAGATATATACAGATTTAAAGAGAATCACAGGAATAAAAAAGAAAAGAATAGTTATAGACTCACAAATCCTACGATTGGCAAAAACAAAACCCAAAGAAATCCTAAATTCCACGATTTCATATTATACATTACTGTGAAACCTTGTGCTGGGAGTGGACAAATAGGACCTGTATGGCCATGTGGCCTTTTCCCCTGGGCTCAGTCCTGCAAAAAGGCTCACAAATGATCAGACACTGACTTTTTGACTAAGAACCAGGAAGGAAACACTGACTTGCCTAACTTTGCAGTAGAAAAGCAATGTGTGCTTTGAAGGCAGATATGTCTGATGTGGAGTTTTTTTTTTTTTTTTGGACTTCAGCAGTGGAGCCAAATAGGTATAAGTACAGAATACAGAAAATTTGAAAGCAAATGACATAGAGTTATTTATTATATAGTATGAGGCACAAAAAATTATGGAGATGGTAGTTTTGAGGCAAATCAGATGGACAGGGGTAGTAAAATAACTTAGGTGCCTAAGTACTCTTTGACTTTATGTTTTGTTCATCTTCATTTGGTTTTACCCAGTATGTTTTATTCAGAGTTATTAGAAGGTACACCACACCTGCTTGTGTTTTGTCCACCTTATAAATCTCTACTGGGGAGGTGTATGTGAGCTGCCTTTAAGACTAATTCAGCAGCTAAAAAGGTAGGGTAGATCTAGCCTAAAGTAGTATTGAGGTATTTTTCTTATCACTGAAGCAAGAATGAGATACCTGGGGTCATACTACTTGGCATTTTGTCTTGGAGGTGACATGTCTTGTCCCTTTTAAGTATATTAAACATTGCACAAGAATCCTGTAACAGGCCACTTCTAAGCTGGGTCAGGCTTCTGCAGCCAGAAGCAGCATATATCTGGTCATGGTGTGCAGTTTTAATTCATCTTCATGTTTTCTTCAGAGAATAAATGCTTAGAGTCCTTGCATTTTCCTCCTAACTCCCCTCTAGTCCCCCGCCCCCTGAAGGCGGTCTTTCCATAGCCCCTGGCTTTTCAACATGCTGCTCATCATAGCTTGTCTCAATATTCTTTCTCATTTCACTTACTGATCCTGGGATCCTCCTCTCCATTTTTCCATTTTTTGGTTTCACTTCACATTTAAATGGACAGATATGTCCTTTCAAAAGCCCTGGTTTCTCAAGCTTAGCTTTAGCTGCACTTCTTTGTTGCTACAGTGCTCTGCAAAAATCTTCAGCTCTTCTCCAGCATGTGTCCTGTTGACTAAGTGATTCTCAATGCTAGTGCTACCAATAAAATGGACTCAGTGGGTAGTTTTACTCACAAGTAGATATGTACATTTTAGTTAAGACTTTTTTTTTTTTAAGAACCAATGCCTAGAAAAAAGTGAGTCATGGACACATAGCTTCAATTCAGGAAGGTAGAGATATTAATTACTGGGACAGTAACTGCTTTCTATGTCTCTTGGATGAGTCATAAGTGGCTGTATCTGATTTCTTTCGTGGGCTACCCCAGCTGCCTCTTTCCATCATGGTTAAGATCCTCCTGCTGCTACTAATCTTGTTCTACAAAGAACACTGTTTGGAGCACAATGATGAGAAACATTCTCCAAGAAACACTCCAGTAATTTGAGGTTAAGGTCTTAAGACAATTTCAACCAGAAACCAACTGTGCCCCTAGACTTTTTTTTTTAATATTTATTTATTTATTTATTTATTTATTTATTTTTGTTCCTCGAATGCCTTAAGGGCACTTTTGGCCAGCGGGAGAGTTGTGAGGTTTGAACTCGAGCAACCTGAGGCTGACAGCTTTGTGGAAGCAGCCACTTAAAGGCCTGAGCTAGGGCCAGGCCCCAGCCCCTAGACTTTAAAAGACTGGCTCTAAATAGCTACTGGTTGAGTCAGTGTCCAAGCCTCAATCACCTCTGTTGTGCTTCTCTAAGGTTTCTATCAGAAACTAATCTGAACTGGTCCTTTGATCTTGGTCTTTACATTGAAGTAGGATTTTATTTTCTTCAATTTCTATGAAAGCTTATTATCAATATCATCTATGTGCAAAACATGTTCATGTCTTTCAAACTTTATCATGAAGTCATCTACTACAGTTCCCATTTTCTTTTCTAAAAGGACTTGAGTGATAAATTTGACCTCATGTCAAATTCCAAGAAAAGTTTCTATTTTTACACTAATTTCTCTACTTTTTGTTTCTTACATCATATACCTACAACTCAGTTTGTTTCATCTTTGCCTCATTGTTATGATATCTGCCATTTATACTAGACTATATATAGCATAATGCTATGCTTGCATTTCTGTGGGGTGGTGCATGGGAATTCTAACTGGGGAATGGATAGTCTGGAAGTGACTACTTCCATGTTTGGTTCTTTAACATAATGTGCTTCAGGTAGGAATATTATAGTTGGAAAAGTTAAAGACCTGTTAACTTGCATGATGAATGCTCAAAATGAATTCTAGTGCTGAAATGAAATGAACTCAAGGAACACACATGGACAGAAGATAAAATGTATACCTCTCCCTTGTGTGAATCTAGCACCTCTCTTCCCAGGAATAGTGCTGTGACCAAATTTCAAATGTCCTGTGTCTAGCTGTGAACTTGGTCTGATGGCTGTTCTAAAGGTGATAGAGGACTGGGGGGGATGGCTCAGTAGAATAAGCGCTTGCCTGGCAAGTGCATGGGCCTGAGTTCAATCCCCAGTTCCACACACAAAAAAAGTTTTGAACTAAAGGTGATAGAATCTTGCCTGTTGCATTTTGTATGTTAGTTCATTGAATTATGAAAGTTGGTGATTAGAAAAGCTAAAATAAAACTTCAGACCTAAATATCATCTTGAATGTAGGTTCTTTCGGTGCTTGTTTTATAGTAAAAATGTAGTTAAAGAGCCAGAATTTGGTATAAGATTCAGTTTCCTTTTACTTGGTAAGGAGATTGTAGGTAGAGGCTAACCCTTATATAACTCAAACTTCAATGCCTATCATTATCTACCAAAAGAAATGAAGTGTTGTGGCTGACTGACTAGGTATGTGTTAGTTTTCAACACTCACTTCACAGAAGGTTTAAAAATGGTTTTCCTATATCATAGATTATAACTCACTGGGGCCTTCGGTGAGTATTCCTTTGTGTTGCAAGAATGACTTTCATTTTACAAGTCTTATTTTAGTTGGTCCTTAATACTGTGCATCTCAAATCCTCTTTGAAAGAAGATGGAGTAAGACATCTAAATGAATAATGAAAATAACAGAGCATCCCTGTTGGTTTCTTTGGGGGGAGCCCATGGCTTTTCTCTGTACTTGTGGCTTATCTTTAAGCATTACATAAACTTGTGCTAATGAGACCTAAACACATTATTAGAGAGGCTCATGGTAAGGGGGAAGCCAGAGAATGGTGCACTGGGCCTGTTTCTAACTGGCCCCATACTTCAGTACCACTTGTCAAGGCTGCAACTCAGGTCCCCTCCCCAGAATAAAAGCTTTTCCTTTGATACTGCCAAGAAGAGATGGAGCTAATACAATGGCACTTGTACCTCTAGGTATGGTGGACAGGGTTTGTGGGACTAGCAACTTAAGGAAGAGCAGCACATCCTGAATTCAAATCTCGTTGCTTATCCAAACACGGAATTTGTGTGTCTCTGGAACACTGAAGGAAAATGGATGCTGAGAACCAATGGACTTGCCATGTTGCTCCGCACACGACTCCATCCTCTCCAGGTGTTTCACTGTGGTCCAGTAGCAAAGGAGTCTAATGACTTAGAGAGTTAGTAGAAACTGATCTTGCTCCGGTGGTTTCCTTACCCAGGTACCCAGGCCAGCTTTCTGAAAAGCCTTAAACAGCTGCTGTTTAACGGACTGGTAAGTGTGAGCCCCTAGCTTGGCCTCACAGTACATAGATGGTGTGTCTCCATGGATTGGTATACGTGTGCTCAGCTGTTGATGGGAAGAAGAGAGAGGAAATTAACGGCCCGCAGAAATAGGGTCCTCTACAAGAGGAATTTTACATACAGAAAACCTACTCTTGAGCTCAACCTTTGGTTTTTCTTTAAAACAAAAGAGCAACATTATAAAGAGCAACTTTAGTGATAGTTACCAAGCTCTATCATGTGGTTCTGTGGAAAACTCAGTTATCAAGGAAATTTTGGGAGGGTCCGAGTGTGGCTGAATAGAGGAGGAGTCATGGCTGAGAGACTCAGAAGAAGCTTTGTTTCATCAAAAGTGGAAAAGATTAATGAACACAACTGATTTTTTTTTCAGTCATAGGAGGAGGATTAGGGGCTTGAAGAGTCTGGTGAGGCCAAGATGGCTGTTGGCACTACATAACATTATGTCATGCAGGAAAGACAAAGAGTTTTAAAGTTATTTTTAGTGGATCAGGAGGACAATAAAAACCGCATTTTCCACCAGCCTTCTGAATTGTAACAGACAAAACTTGAGTCAAATATGGCTTCAATTTCTGGGTGGGGGTGGGGGTCAGAAGGTAGGAAGGCAGGCCTGTGGCAGGGGAACTCTGAAGGCAGGGTCTTTTGGGCAGACTGTAGGTCTGTAGAAGAGAAGAGTCTTTTTAAAAAAATGATGAAATCAAAGCTTCTTTGACCTTGCAAAGCCTTTAGAAGAAGGCAGACATGGGAAAGGGCCCCAGAGGAGGCAGAATGGAGGCTGCAGGATGCCTGGTCACAGATCAGTCCACGTATGATGGCCATGGCAGAGACAGAGGCTCAGAGCTGTGTGTGAAACTTTCAGTGTCCTCTATTTAAACAATGATGCCTATTGGGAGTCACTGCCTGGTTGAAGAAAAAGCGTAGAAAAATGAGCAAAATGTTTTCTTTTTTTAATCTGTTGGTTTCCCCCCAGTTATTTATTCTTTGTTTGTTTATAGCCTTCTATGCTTTTGAAACTCAGAAAAATGTAACTTTCAATCTAAACCCCTGAAATGTAATTCCTATCCCCATTTATGGAGGAGAAAGGAGGTTCCAGTTCATTGTTGTCATGGAAATGCTCAGGTTTCAAGGTTGAGGGGGATTCTAACCCTGACATTCATTACCTCTAAAATTTGGGCAAATAACCTACATTTTCTGAGCCTTAATGTCCTTAGAGTCAAACTGGGAATAACATTGACCTTAAGAACTTGGTGTGTACCCTTCTAACGATATGTTGGGTAAAGTGGCTGGCACACTGTATTAGGTGGCCACCAATAAACTCCTTCACTACTTGATTTCTTTGAGCCACAATGCTGAGTCTCATGCTGCTGGTCTGCGGACCCTGCACTTGGGTTGCAGTGTCTTCACTGGGGAAGTTCTGCTGGCCTGGGCAGTTGTAGAAGGCCCAGCGGGAACTGGATTTTGCAACCTGCCGCAGACCAAATTACAGCCCACACCCATGAGGTTGCTGAGGACTTGAGTCTGAAGCCAGCCTTTGGCAGCTTTTCCCCAGAAAGGACAGGAGCCACCTACCCTTCCATACAGCTGCGCCCACCGGGCAGAGAACACGTGCTTGCAGAGCCGGGAGGAGCCCCCGCAGCTCCGCTTCCCAGTTGTGGCATTAATAATCTCCAGATCTGCATTGCCCACGACCCAGTTCACGCTGAAGTGGGGAGACTTTCCTGGCTGCCGCGCCTCTGCATTACTCACTCCTGTCAAGAGAGAAGCAGGAAGCAGCCAAGCATTAATATTCTGGCCCCAAGCGGGGCTCCCAGGAGAGCAGCTAATGGGAAGAAGGCCTGTGCTGGCACTGCTCTGACATATATATGTGCACATCGTCCTGCCTTTTCTCTTCAAAGCGCGGTTAGCTCTCCTTGTGGTCATCATTTTACTCATAGGGTGGAGGCTGAAAAATCTTGCCTGACCCTGTTGACAGTCTCCTGCTGAAAGCCATTGCTGTACCTGTTTTTAACCTTCTAATTTAAAGGGTTTTGTGGGGCATCTTGTAATAAAAAATTTGGCCCTGATTTTCACCCTCCTATATTTGTTGAGTGAATTAATAGACAAACAGAGTCATGAAAGAACAATCTAAGTGGGTTGGGAATATAGTTCAGTGGCATGGTGCCTTCGTGGCAGGAGTGAGGTCCTGAGTTTGATTCCTGGCACCCCCCAAAAAAACCAGTCTAAGAGTATGAGTACCAACTGCAAGCCCAGCCCAGTGCAAGCCAAATAATAAGGGTAGTATATAGTACCAGACAGACTCTTAGGTTTATAGTTTAGTTTATGAAAGAAAGAGAAAAGCTAATATAAGTGAAATGAAAGTATTCAGATTAGACAATTAATCAAGTAATCTTATTTAGAAATAGTAATGGCACAGAATTTTCAAGATGCATGGTAAATATTAAAATGTGGGGCCTCTTTTTTGGGAGCTATTAGTAAACTGGAGATGGCAACAGAGCCTTAAACCAAACCTGGTCTTCCTAAAGTTATGCAGTATGACTGGGTAGGTCACATCCTCCTGAAGTTGATTTTTCCCAAAAAATCTAGATGTTTAGGGAAGTCTCCATTCCATAGTCTTCTTTGTCGGATCATATGCTCTTACTTTCAATTGGTGCTGCCCAGTCCCTACAATATTGCTTTTTCTACAGCAGAGCAGAGAGAGGAGGCAGAGCATTTCGACTCTGATGGCATCTGCTTTTCTTTTTTAAAAATTTTTGTCTTTCAAAGAGAGTACAAAATAGTAGTAAGGCAGAAAAATTACAAGTGATACAGAATTTCACTTGACAAAGTAATACAATTTTCACAATATTTTTTGTAATGCATAGTGTTGTCTTCCAACCAGTTATTCATATTACTGGATATATGCATGCAAAATTGGAGGAAGAAAAAAAGATATAACTATATAATAAATTAAGAAGAGAAAAAGGAGAAAAAATTAAAAAAGGAGACAAAACAAATTAAGCATTATCTGCTCTTTTCTATAGGCCAGCAGTAATGCACATTACCATTGTCCAAACCATCCTGCTTACGTACATAGACATATCTCTTTCCCTGAGCATCTGCTTTTCAATGTGTGGGGTGCCCTTGTTCTCCAGCTTCTAACTTTAACCCCAGTCTCAGCTCCTTCTCATCCACATTCCCACTCCTCCTTCTGCTGAGAACTTTCTGGAAAAGCCAGGCTGAGATGCCTGATACCATGCAGTGAATACATGCCAAGACTCTATCCTGTGAAATTATCTTGTGGATTCCAATACGTGCAAGATTCTGGTGCTGATTACTTTCCTGATGTGCTATCTGTCTTCTTCCCTTCTTGAAGGTTATGTTTGCCAACCTGTGAGTTTTGGGAAGGGATTGACAGCCTGGGATCATGGTGCCCTAGGTGACCACTGCCAGATGACTTCTGCTCTCTGGACTTTTTCTTGCAGACTCCATGCATGACAGATGTGCCCTTCAAAGTTCTAGGGCATGTGCTGGACAGACAAGTCTTTGCTCGGAGGCTAAGTCTCTGCTCAGAGGCACATGCTTCACCACAGCTGAGGCTGCTGGGAAATCCAGCCTCTCATCTGCTCACTTCGTGATATTAGGGGACAATAATCCAGAAATCCTCTGTAAGTGCTCCCTATCAGCACCTTTTGAATCTTGCACCACTCATAGCTGCTGCAATATCTCCTGCAAGACACTTTCCTGAAACCCAGCCCAGCTGAACCTCTCTTGCCTCTAATCCAGGGCCACCTTGTAAATGCCAGCTCTGCCCTTGCAAAGCCTTGCCTGCCTCCTCTTGTACCTTCTTGCCCTTCTCCTCTCTAGCTGTGGAACATTCTCAGGCCTGTTGCATGCATTGTGCGGCAGAATGGAGCTTGCAGAGAAGCACTGGAGCTTTTGGCAGTGCGTGGGCTGAATTTTGGGCCCTTGGGGGTCATAGTGAGGTGTCGCTGATGGCTGGTGTCAAAGTCCAGGGGTTGGGAGGATTTTCAGTGCAAAGCCCTGGCTGGATGAGTACAGTGAGAGCTCTGGGGTGGAAGCAGACTTCCTGAGTGAGTGCCGTCCCTTGTTGAGCGGCACCATGATCCCATCCTGCAGGCAGCCTTCATTTAAATTTAGAGGAAGGCACTCAACTCTGAGCTGGGAAGTTCCAGACCCCACAGTCCTCCAAGCTCTACCTCTGACCCAAGGGATTCTTCACTAGAAACAAAACACCCCTTCTGAGCTTACTGTTGTCTGAATTTGTTGCCTTCTATCTACTCCCAGCCTGGCTCCCAGACTGAAAGTCACCCTGAAATCTTCTTTGGCCACAGATGGGCAAATGTTGGACATTCTGGTTGATTCCATTCATGTCAGCAATCCCATAGAAAAGGTCCACTGTGGCAGCTGCCCAACCCCAAGAGCCAGGCGGGGGGTACAGTCTGGCCCATTGGTAGCCATGGGCTGCCCTACTGGGTAGGGGCTGCCTTGTCAGGCAAAGGCAGCTGCTCAGGTCAGGGATGACTGGGTACAAAGAAAGGCAGCCCCTGCTCCAGATTTGCATGCAGCCAGGCTTAGCAGTGTGACAAAACCTTCTTCTCCTTCTCCACCCCTCTACCCTGCCTCCCCTTTCCCTGTTTCCCATTTCTTTCTAGGCTTTACAATGATTAGGCATGACCACCAAGGCACAGAGCAAGGGCTTTTTCAAAGTCCTACATTCTGAACTCAAGGAAATCCAGGGAGTGCTTTAAGTCCACACAGGGCCTGCTCGCTCCTCTTGTGACCCACTTCCTGCTCTCATCCATTACTTTTGCTGAGGAAAGCGTTTCTGCTTTGGGGCTGGCTCTCAGCACATAGGCAGCTGCCCTAGAGGTGGCTGTGACCTGACTAGGCTATTGTCCCAACCCCCTTAGCTTCCAGCTTTGCCAGGGTCCAGCCAGTGCCGGGATGGATCCGTGAGGATGCTCTTATCAACCTGTGTGCTTGCTGCTCTGTCCACTTGAGCTGCAGCCAACGGTGGAGCCAGGGTGGTGTAGCGAAGGGCAGGTTGGTGTGAGCCTGTGGCATTCAACTTGTCCTGCAGACAAGACTGGTGACTATGGAATTTGAAGACTTGGGCACCAGCCCATCTTTGTTCTGGGACCTTGACACACAACATTCTGTCCCTTCCTTTGCTGAGAGTGAGAACTTTGTTTCACAAAGTGATGTGAAGATAAAAAAGGCAGATAAGGATGCTTCTAAAACATCAAGTGTTACGGTTATTGTTATTTCTGTCTGAAGGAAGATTCAAAGGTCAGTGATAGTTTGTAGAGTGCCACATAAGGCATGCAGATCAAAACGTTCCAATTATGTTACAGAAAACATTTTCAACTCAATTACAAATCACTCAGTTATTCCAAAAATGCAATAACTAACCAACAAAGTTAGGATTCTTTACATGAAAGACATTTTGAAAATTGATGTATTTGTTCAACATATTCACTCACTACCTCTTTTGGAACCATTACTGCATGCTTATTCTTTGAACCCATAGTTTAAGGATTATCATTCTTTTGTTCTTTGCTTGCAAATACACACATATGCACACGTACACACACATACATATACACACACACGTACATAAATCTTTCCAAATGATGTGGAAGAATAGCAATCCTTCTCTAGTCCGCCACCTATAAAAAAATAAATGTACTACAAAGAGATAGGATTTAGAATGTTTACTAAATATTCATGCCAGTAATATAAATCCTGACATCATTGTAATTAATGATTGCCACTGATTATACCCAAAAAGATACAGCCACTGTGTTCCATCAGTCTCACTTGGGCATAATATGCAAATTTTCCAATGTACCATGAAACACACAATTACCTCACAGAACATTTCTGTCAGTCTAGCACTATTTTCCCTTTCTGTAGGACAAACTGCATGGATAGATCATGTGCAATCAGCAGGTAGTGGTGGTTTCTTAATCTCTGATGGAGAGAGAGAAGAATATCTCTCTCTCTCTCTCTCTCTCTCTCTCTCTCTCTCTCTCTCTCTCTTTCTCTTCCTTCTCCTTCTATCAGTACTGACTGAGGATTGGACAAAGGACTATACTGAGCTATATTTCCAACTCCTTCTTATTATTTAGAATTTAGAATTTTGAGATAGAGTCTCACTAAGTTCTTCATTTGCCTAGAAAATCAGCTTTGCCATGGTCCCGACAGTGCCTTTAACCCCAGTTGGTACCAGGAATCAAACTCAGGACCTCACTCTTGCCATGAAGGCGTCCTGCCATCCAACTATATTTCCAACCCACTTAAATTGTTCTTTCATGGCTCTGTTTGTCTATTAATTCACTCAACAAATATAGGAGGGTGAAAATCAGGGCCAAATTTTTTATTGCAAGATGCTCCACAAAACCCTTTAAATTGGAAGGTTAAAAACAGGTACAGCAGTGCCCTCAGCAGGAGGCTGTCAACAGGATCAGGCAACTTCTCAATTTTTCAGAATTTTGAGATAGTCTCACTAAGTTCCTAAGCTGCCTAGGCTGGGCTTGAACTTGTGATCCTCCTGCCCGAGCATGTCAGAGCGCTGGGACTACAGGTGTACATCACCACATCCAGCTAGGAACATTCATTTTATAACTCAAATCTTGATGAGTGCCAGGCTGGCTGCTTTTTCTATGAGAACATTGAGGTCTCCTGGGCATTGGTGTCAAATCTCTGAGGAAGGCTCTCTTTATCTACTTGTCATAAAAACATTTCT